TCCCACTCCTTACGCGTTGTGCTGCTTGCAGCTCCTCCTGCTGTTCCCGAAGCTGCTTTTGGAGAGGATGACTGCAACTGCTGCTGCTGCTGCTGCTGCTGCTGCTGCTGGCACCAGATTCGCTTTTCCTGATGCGAGATTGAATGGATCTGAAATGGAATCGGGAAGAAGAGAGCAGGAGACAAGCGCAGCAAGGCAGAAGCTAAATCAGGAAACGAAACCACAAGGACAAGTATACTAAAGAGTCACCAGACAGCTCTCGTAGGTGATTTGTGCGTGGACTCAAAAATATCCTCAGGAAACGAAACCACGGGGCCAAGTATACTCAGGATTCACCAGACAATGAAAAGAGTCGGGGCCCTGCGACTTGTTCTAAAGCCCCTGAAGAAACAGCTCATCGCCAGCAACCGCCCGCTGCCGCTCGCGTGTGCTCTGTGTGCGTGTGCAAGTACCCGAGGTGCCTTAAAGTCTGATCTAAGGTCATTCCGAGGAGGAGAACTCACCAGGCGCTCCATCATGGCAACCGTTCTCTGCCGTGTGTGCTCTACTTGTCTGCTCCTGTGCAAGCACCAGCCAATAGCACGTCTGTCGCCCCCTCATTCCAACTCACCAGCCTCTCCATCATGGCAACCGCTCTCTGCCGCGTGTGCGATCTCTTCCGCTCCCACCGGATCCTCAACAGCTCACAGCCCGCCTTAACCTGCAAGGAGGCATGGCATGGGGGGCATGTCATCGCATGGGGTTAAGGCATGGGGGCATGGCATGGGGGCATGGCATGGGGGCATGGCATGGGGGCATGGCATGGGGGCATGGCATGGGGGCATGGCATGGGGGCATGGCATGGGGGCATGGCATGGGGGCATGGCATGGGGGGCATGGCATGGGGCATGGCATGGGGGCAGAGCGTGAGAGGCTTGCTGCAGGCTGCAGGTATCATGGGAGGCATAGCATACCATGGGCGGAATGTGCTGCTGGAGAGTGATTGCCTCGATATAAGGCGCTGCCTCCCACCCTGTAACACAGTCACACAACATCGAGAAATGGTCAGCACTGCGGCCTGCTACCTCTGCTGCAAGCACTCATGCCACCACCCTCAATCAACCCTCTCATCTCCCTCACTCACCCCTCATCTCGTCAGCTGCATTGCTCTTCACCGTGTCAACAGCCATGGCCAGCACTGCCGCCTGCTCCACGCCCCTCAGCACACCCCCAGCGCTGCCGCCCTCACCACCGCGCCTATCAGCCCCGGCTCCAGTTGCTGCTGTGCTGTGCTTCTCTGCCCCGCCGCTCCCCTCCACCAGGCGCGGCGCCAGCAGCACGTCACTCTCGGGCTCAAGCAAGCACTCCAACTCCTCCATACTCTCGCCCTCCTCCTCCTCACCCTCTCCCTCGCCCTCCCCCTCTCCCTCCCCTCCAGCTTTTCCCTTCTCCCATTCCTCCATCCGATCCTCTGCCATGCCTGCAGCTAGTGCTTCCCCCCTCCTTACCTGCAGCACCAGCTGGGCCTTGGGATCAACCTGTGGGTTTGGCACGGGATGAATAGGGTTGCTGCCGGTTAAGAGTGGTGGGATAGTGGTCACAAGGCGCTTCTCAAGGCTGACATGCATGCACATGTCAATCCACAAATTCTCACTCCAAAAACCTCGTCACTCCGCCCGTTACTCAGTTGATGAACAGTGCGGTACCCCATAGCAGCGCCAGTCACACCAAGCGACACCCCACTCTGTCTCATGGCTCACATCCATGTCATACTCACACTTCCTCGCCTCGCCTCCAAGCCCCCCCCTGACCCTCCCCCCCCCCTCCCCCCCCTTACTCACTTGATGAACCGTGCGGTACCCCATAGCTCCAGTCACACTCAGTGCCACCCCGCACTCTTCTAAAGACCTCTCGAAGCACTTCCTGTGCGCGCAAATTGCAGGGAACACGTGGAGGCAGGGGCGGGGCGGAGGCGTGAGCGGGGGCGGGGGCGGGGGTGGGGGCGGGGCGTGGGCGGGGGCGTGGGGGGGGGGGTCTGAGCAGGGAGGGGGAAGGGTGAGGCAGGGTGGGGTGGGGTGGGGTTTGGAGCGAGTGGAGAGAAAACAAGGGAGAATCCACACCTCAAGTTGAGAGCCACACCTCTGGTGAGAGCAACTTGAGATGAGTGCATTGAAGGGCCACGCATGGGTGGGTGGGTGAGTGCACAAGGAGGGGATAGATATGGAGAGATGGGCAATCGTGAGGAGTAGCACCCATGATACAAAGGGAGGGGCACACTTGGCATTGGCAATGGCGCTTCGCATCCATATGTAACGGCCACACCTGGCAGGCAGCGTCCATTTGTAACGGACACACTTGGCAACCCGTGCAAGTGACACATCTGGCAGCGTCCACGTGGGAGGGACACACCTGGCAGTGTCCACGTGTGCATAGGCCATCTCCATCATCCCAACCTCCAAATGCACCATCGCTGCCACCCGCACACACACCTCCCCCTCCGCTCTCTCCTCATTCCTCTCCCACTCCTCCTCCCCTCTCCTTCCTCCCTCCTCCTCATCCCTTCCCGCGAAAAGCGCTTTTCTCACTTCCTCTTTCCCCCCCAGAGTCGTCCCCAGGTGAACAGTGCATGGCAGCAGCAGGGCGCGGAGGGAGGGGGACCGCTCCTGTAGCACCCTCTGGTGAATCACGACAAGCCTCGCCGCCCACCAGGGCCAGGAGGGCGGCAGAAGGGCGGGGGAGAAGGCGTCAGAAGGTTTAACAGAGGAGGAGGGGGAGGGGAAGAGGAGGAAGGGGAGGGGAAGAGGAGTGGGAAGAGAGGGGGGAGGAGAAGGGACCTGGCGAGGAGGAGGTACTGGGGGAGGTGGCATCTGCCAGTGACGTCAGCACCATCTGTCATCAGCTCCACCTGGCACCACTTGCACACCGCCACGCGTGCCGCCTCGCTGGCGAGGAACAAGGGGTCAGCTGTGCTTGCTGTCGTGGCACCTGCTGCTGGTCCTTGACCAAATGGGAGGGTTGGAACGGCAGACGGCTCGGGGCTGTTGGCAGGAAAACGAGGACAGGGAAACGGAGGGGAGAGGGAAGAGAGAGAAGAGAGAGAAGAGAGAGAAGAATAACAATGCAAATGATGAGGCAATATGAAAGGAAAAGCAGGATCTGAAAAGCAGCAGCGGGGAGGAACAAGACAGGGATGGGAAAGGGAATGTAGGCAACATAGAGAGCAGTACTGTCCAGTTCCAAAAATAACCGGCAAATTCATGATAGGGTTAACATGAAAACCCCAGCAGAGTAAAACCCTGGAACCCTGATGCACTAAAACCCTGAAACACAAAAACTTCGAGAATGAAGAGCGCTTGCTCAAAAGCGCGTATAGCAATGAATCTGCATTCCTCCCAACACCTTTTCCAAACTGTCTTCGACAGAAGGGTTCAAGGTTTAAGGGTCATGGCTAAACATCGGAACACATGGCTCGAGAAAGAATCAGTTTACCGAGTGCAGGTGGGGGATTGAAGCAGGAATTGTTCAGGCTCATGCTGAACCCAAAAACCCTTGAATTCGCATCCCGTAGTTCCCTCTCACTTGCCCCTACGCTCCTGAGAAAATCTAGTCCCTCGCGCACCCCTCAATGTCCCTCGCGCACCCCTCAATGTCCCTCGCGCACCCCTCAATGTCCCTCACGCCCACCCCTCGCTATAGGAACATCGCACCCACCCGCTCACGTTTGCCTGCACGAAGAGGCACAGGCTAGCCGCCCCCATCAGCAACACCGCCAGCGCCCTCTCGCCCCCGCTCCACTCGAGGAGTGCCCCATCCCCCTTGCACGATTCCTGTGCCGTTTGACTCCATTCGACATGCATTTGAGTTGATTCGGCATGTGGTTGGGCCGCATCCCCTGCCCCCTCACCCCCCTCCGCTTTTGCGCTTTCTGAGGGATTTTCCCCCCCCAGATCCGCCAGCACTGCGCCGATTCTCCCCCGCACTGCACGGAAAAAGGCTTCCGCCGCCGCTGCGCCTGTGGCTGCTTCCCCCTGCTGGCTCTGCGCGCCTGCCGCCACCGCTTCCGCCAGCTGATCCGCGGAGGGGAAGACCGCGAGCGCGAAGGATGCGCGCTGCAGCGCTGCGACATACCTTCCCGCCCTGATCAGCGCAAGCACGGAGGTCAGCACGGCCAACGGCGGTGCACGCGACGGTGCTTCGCGTGATAATAAGGACCCGTCTTCTGCGCCGCGGTGCAGCGGGAACGAGGGAGGCGCTCCGAACGAGACGAGCAGAAGCTCGGCTTCGAGGGACCGCGCGTCGATCGCGCCATAGCTAGCAGCGAGTGCCATGGCGACTACTGCAGTTTCGTTTTCTGCCTGGTTGGATTTGGCTCCTTCAGTGGGAAAGCAAATCAGCTCAAGGTTCGCCTGGACGAGCAGAGTTTCCAGACACGGAGCAGCGTTTACATTTGCAAGATCCGCTTTCGGGTCAGAAACAGTTCGCTCCAATTTCGTTCACGAAGTTCGTGTCGGAAAGTCTGCTGCGCTCCACAAGAACAACCCCCTTTTGGAGGGGATCGCTCCGCTGCTGGACGAAGATCGCGCAAAAATGATCTGGACCCTCCAACGAACCCCTGTGATATTTTGAGACCGTATCGTATTTGCGAACCGAATGATCGAACTTGATGCGAAATCACATCCTTCGTTGAATCAGGGTTACAATAGAGTTACAACCCTCCAGCATGCCGCCTTCAGGAATCAGGATTCAGGAACCCTACCTCTCTTCTTCCATTCTTTTCTTTCTAGGCTGGAGCTCTCGTTCCTAGGGGTGGATTCTAGCGTCGTGTCATCCCGTGGATGACACCCGATTTTGCCCGTAAGCCTGGTTCGGCCGAACCTAGCTGAGGGGCAAAATCGGGTGTCATCCGCGGAATGACACGACGCAAGAATCCGCCCTAATTCCCTCCAGCGTTCGATGTCATTCGTTTCCCGACCGAGCACATTCTATGTCACAGTCATCTTGTATGCGCTTTTTTTTGCTCGAGCAGGCTTGTACATAAGTTTCCGTTTCCGACGTTTCACTGAAAACTTCCGTCGGTCTTTAACGCGGCCACGATGGATATGGAATACCTTGACGATGATGACGTCATGTCGGACTACGATGACGACGATAACGATCAGCTGGCGGATTCCGACGAGGACGAGCTAGACAAAGACGAGGAACGAATTCAGAATCCGTCAACAATTCGCAACCCGGACGGAACTTACCGCTGCCCGTTCTGCCCCGGGCAGAAGAAACAAGATTATAGATTCAACGAAGTCACGAAGCATGCAGAGGATCAGGCGAAGGGGTCGTCGAGGAAAGGACCCAAGGAGCGCAGGAGGCACCAGATGCTGCTGCAGCGGCTGATGCGGGAGGATCTGCAGCCTGACAAGCCCGTCCGCGTTATAAAAGTTGAACCTCGCGAAACACCAAAGATTGTGGAGGTAAGAGATGACCTTGAAGAATAGAGGGGCCCAAGGAATGGAGACAGCGTTTGGAGCTGAAGCAGCAGAAGCAGCGGCTCATGCGGGAAGATCTGCACCCTGATGAACCTGTCCGTGCGGTAATACGAGGCGCTTTTATGGTTACAGGCTTACAGCACGGACAGGCTTCTCAGGCTGCAGATCTTCTTGCAGAAGCCCATGCCTCTCAAAGCGTCTGAAAGGATTGGGATATCAGACGTGCCGTTTTTTTCTTCTACTACTTCTTTCTTTCTTTCCCTCTTTTCGTAGTAACTTACACGCTGAAACATGTCTTCATCGGTGTATTTTGCAGATACCTATCTAACATGTCCTCTCTCCCCCCTGCTTTCCCTTCTTTTTGCAAAATTTCCAGGACCGGATTTTGTGGCCGGCTGTGGCGATTGTGAAGAAACTGCAGACGGGTCTCATGTACGACACGAACCAGAAGAAAGAGATCCTGGGTGGCGTGACTCGCGCGCATGTGGACCGAAGCACGCTCAAGAGCTACCTGCCTCATCGTGAATCATGACACGCTATGCTATTGTTTCGTGCCCTTCTGGTTTGCAGGACCGCATCCTCTGGCCGCCTGTGGCCATAGTGAAGAACCTGCAGACGGGTCTCACATATGATGCGAACCAGAAGAAAGAGATTCTGGGCGGCGTCACTCGCGAGCAGATTGAGAGCACGTTCAAGAGCTATGGGCCCCGAAAAGTGGAGGTGCTTTATAGTAAGTGGAGAGGTAGGGGGGGAATAGGGAGGGCGAGCGAATTATAGATGGAGGGAATTGGGGGGAGAGTTTCGAGTCTGTGTCAGAGATTGAACGCGTGCTCAGAGCTAGGGCCTCGGGGAGTGGAGTGGTGGAGGTGTTGTATATTGTAGGTGGAGGGAGAGGGAGTGTGCGGTTGAATGGGAAGATGAGAAGGGATCTTCAGGGGGGGGGTGGGTATGCATGTGGATCACATCACAGTCGCATGCTTACCACCCTGTTCCTCCCCACTCTTTGTTGCCGGGTATCTTGATCCTCTTCCCCCCCCCCCCCCCCAGACTACAAGGGCCACACGGGGACGGCGCTGATTCACTTTGAAGAGAACGCCAAGGGCTGGGAGGCGGCTTCGAAGCTGGACAAGACCTATGCGCAGAGCGAGTTGGGGCGAGAGGGGTATCTGAAGGGGAGGGGACGGGAGAAGGACGAGTGGTTCGCATGGGCGGCCAGAGAGAGGGACCTGGAGGCGGAGGGCAAAAAGGGGCCCATTGGGAGTGCGCTGCACAGGAAACACAAGGGAACGAAGAGCCTGGCGGAGGTGAGAGAGAGGTTGCTGAAGATGGGTGCTAGTCAGGGATACTAGACGTGGAGTTGGAGAGACAGAAGGGCAAATGGGGAGTAGACATGGGCACAAGCCGGCTCATGCCCATGTCTAATGGGGAGTGTGTGCAGAAGGAGCACCGCTGGGCGACGATGAGCCCGAGCGAGGTGAGGGGTTGCTCAAGACTTGGGCTACTAGACCTGGACTTGGAGAGACAGACATATGGGGAGTAGACTTGAGCATTTTACCCGGTCGGGTCGCGGGTACCCGACCTGACCCGACATTTTGGCTGGGTCGGGTAATAGGATTTTGACAAATTACCCAGCCGGGTCAGGTCGGGTACTCGGGCTGGGTAATGCATACCCGTTACCCGAGAATTACCCGAAATGTCGGGTAATTTATTACCCGTCAGGTCGTGGGTACCCGACCCGACTTCGGGTTTGTTACTCCGGGTTTGCTGAATTTTACAGCCACCTAGGGGTACCCGGGTAATACTACCCGACTTCAATTAACCCGACCCGCCAGATGGGTACCCAAGTACCCGGTATTAAAATGCCGGGTCGGGTAACAGACCTCCAAACACTACCCGGAAATTACCCGACCCGACCCGACCCGGACCCGATCGCGGGTAGGGCAAAACCGGGTCGGGTCGGGTAATTACCCGGTTTTGCTCATGTCTAATGGGGAGTGATGGGCTGATGGGGGGTGATGGGCTGATGGGGGGTGATGGGCTGATGGGGGGGTGTGTGCACAAGAAGCACCCCCGGGCGACGAAGAGCCTGAGCTGAGCGAGGTGAGGTGAGGGGTTGCTGAAGATGCGTGCTGATCAGGGGAGGGAGAGTGGTTTGCTTGGGCTGCTTTGGAGAGAGGCCTGGAGGCGGAGGGCAAAAAGGGGCCCATTGGGTTGGGAGTGCGCTGCACAGGAAGCACAAGGGAGCGAAGAGCCTGGCGGAGGTGAGGGGTTGCTGCAGGTTTGTGCTGGACAGGAAAGTTCAAGTTGTGATGCGGGGGAGAGACCTGGTCAGAGACCTGTTTTTGGAGAGAGATTTTCTAGTTGACTCAAAAATCACCTACGGAAAGGTCAAGTTGTGATGCGGGCAGCGGGTCAGAGACCTGTTTTTGGGGAGTAAGAAGGGGCCGATCAGGAGTATGCATGTTGCACACGAAGCATAAGGGAGCGAAGAGCTTGAGTGAGGTGAGGGAGTGCTGTGCGCCAGTCAGGACAGCCTCAAGTTGGGATGTGAGTCTGAATGTAGGGCCCCTCTGTTCTCTGTTTTTTGTTGGCTTGCTGCAGGTGTTGGAGCAGCAAGTCACTGTGAAGCAACAGCAGGACAAGACTTATGTAGGGCCCTTCTGTTCTCTGTTGTCTGTTCGAGTACTGCAGGTGTTGGAGCAGCAAGTCGCTGTGAAGCAACAGCAGGACAAGACTTGTGAGTCCGAATGTAGGGCCCCTCTTTCTCTGCTGTCCGTTTGCGCACTGCAGGTGTTGGAGCAGCAAGACGCAGTGAAACGGCAGCAGGAGCGGGAGGAGAAGCGCGTGCAGGAGCGGGCTTTCATGCGCCTCTCTGAAAAGCTGCAACGCACGGAGGACAAGCTTAAAGAGATGGGAGAATTCGGCCATGGCCTTAAGGAGGAAACACGAGGAAGGTGCGTGGAAGGTCCTGCTGTTGTTGCTTAGAATTCTCAACACAATTAGCTGCACTCCCACCAAGAGGGAGGAGAAGCGCGTGCAGGAGCGGAGCCGGCATTCATGCGCCTATCGGAGTGGCTGCAACGCACAGAGGGCAAGCTTAAAGAGATGGAGAATTCGGGCCATGGCTTTAAGGAGGAAGCACGAGGAAGGTGTGTGGAAGGGAAGCGCTGCTGTTGTTCCCTCGGATTTTCAACAGTTAAATAAGGGCGCAGGAGCGAGCGTTACTGCGGCTGTCAGAGCGGCTGCAGCGCACCAAGGGGCGGCTCAAGCTTGATGGAGGACTTGGCCATGGCTTTGAGGAGGAAGCACTAGGAAGGTGCGTGGAAGGTCTGCTGTTGGTTGCTTAGAATTGTCACACAATCAGCTGCACTCACACCAAGAGGGAGAGAGGCTGGTGCAAAAGCTTGCATCCATGCGGCTGTCGGAGCGGCTGCAGCGCACGGAGGGGAGCTCAAGGAGATGGAAGATTCGGCCGTGACCCTGAGGAGGAAGCACGAGAAGGAAGGTGGCGTGGAAAGCGCTGCGGAGGGAGTTTCTCTGAGGTTGATGAGATTCTTGTTTCTAGTGATCCTTGTTTTGGTGCTCTCTCTTTTTGAGGCGCCTCAAAAATAGACTCCTCTTGTTTCTAGTGATCCCTTGTTTTGTTGCTCTCTCTCCTGCGGAGTGAGCGGAGTGGAGGCACATGAGCACACACACCTGATCTGGGAGACGACGGAGAGGCGATTCCTACAATTGGTCTCTCTTGATGCTCCCTTGTCGTGCTCACTGCTACACAGCTAGCCGACGCACACGAGTGCACACAGGAGAGAATGGAGAGGCAGACTACTCTTCCTAACCACCAATATTTTCCGTACGAACCTCTGTTGTTGCATGCCGTCTCCACTCCATCCGCTGCTTCCACCAGCCAGCCCTCAGTTTGTTGCAGTCGTCCTTTATCTCACCACTGCTGCAGAGGTGGCCGAGGCACACGAGCGCGCGCACACACACATGATGGATGAGGCGGACTACTCCTTCCAACCAGCCAGCGCTCATTTTATCACACCCCCTTGTCCCACGCCTTGCCTCACCACTGCTGCAGAGGTGGCCGAGGCACACGAGCGCAAGAAGGAAATGATGGATAGACGCAGCACATGCGAGCTCGCATGCGGGATGTGGAGCGCACGGAGAGGGAGATGGAGGGGCTGCAGCGGCAGCCAGTCTCTTGATGCCCCCTTGTCTCACGCCCTGTCCTACGCCTTGTCCCACGCCTCGTCTCAGCACTCCTGCAGAGTTAGCTGAGGCACACGGGCGCACTCGGAAGATGATGGAGCGGCGCAAGCGGGTCGCTTGCGGGGTCGCTTGCGGGATGTGGCGCACATGTGGAGAGAAATGGAGGGGCTGCAGCGACAGCTCGCCCCTTAATGCTCCCCTGTTCCACGCCTTGTCTTGATGCCTCCTTCCCATGTCCCACCCACACCTTGCCTCACCACTGCTCCAGAGTTTATTTTTGAGGCGCCTCAAAAATAGACTTTCCACGCCTTGTCTTGATGCCCCCTTCCCATGTCCCACTGACACCTTGCCTCACCACTGCTGCAGAGTTAGCGGAGGCACACGAGCGCACTCGAGCGATGATGGAGAGGAGGATGAGGAATCGAATGAGGGAGGTGGAGCGAATGGAGAGGGAAATGGAGGCGCTGCAGCGCCAGCTGGTGGCGAGGAGCGCTAACGAGCAGGAGGTGAGGGGAGAGGAGAGTAGGGGGGTGAGAAAAGGAGGTAAGGGGAGAAGGGGAGGCGTTGAGAGGAGAGGAGAGGAGAGGAGGTGAGAGGAAGTGTGGGCGGTGAGAGGAGCATGAGATGCAGATGCTGAAGGAACTAGCTTGGAAGAGAAAAGATTGAATTGAGTAGGGAGCCAAGAGGCTCTTTTTGTACAAAACAAGGAGCAAAGAAGAGTTGGAAGGGAAGCTCTCCTATTGGCCATAAAGTGGACCAATGGGGGAGGTTGCTTGTAGGGCAAGCAACCACAAAAGTGTGGTGCTCTCCTATTGGTCACAATGTGGACCAATGAGAGAGATTGCTTGGAAGGCAAGCAACCACAAAGTGTGGTGCTTGGTGATTGGTTGGTTCCTAGGACCAAAGACCATTTGGTTGGAATAGTGCCAACCAAATGTCTAGGACCAAATCCAATCTTGACCAACCCAAATGTGGGGTTGGTCAACCCAACCAACAACCCCCCAATAATTATAATGACTACACCTAATCTAGGCATGCATGTTGTATAGATATATATTTTACAACAGATGCATCATCATGATTAAGACTAGAGGGCTTGAATCAGGAGGCGGACGAGGGAACGGGGGGAGCGAGGCCAAGAAGGCGAAGGAGGGATGAGTGGGCGGCGTGGGGGAGGGCTTTTGGTGAA